CACACGGATCAGCAGGGCCAAGGTCACCCTTGGAAAGAAGTTGTAAAAATCAGTTGATACCTTTCAAGCCCTTTGTTTTGGAGGCTTCTTTGAAGGGTCTTGCCTCCAGTTCTGACCTTGGAGCAAGTGTTAAGTGACCTCGAGGAATGTCACTGAGGCTCCTTTTGGAACAGATTCAGGAAGAAACGCTGTCTTGAAAAGTGCTTCCTTCCCTTTGTCCAGGGGGAATTCAATGGATATCTTTGTTTCATAACATTCCTTGTTTTACATAAGTCTTAAAACTTTTACAAATGAGTTTCATATACATCATCTGATTGTTCAGACTTATAGGGTGTCAGACATCTGCTGTTGATGGCTGTGCTTTTTGAGCAAGGGTAGTGAAGCAAAAACTCCCTCCCCTCCTGCCCATCCCGTTATGTCTTTCCTCTGTCTCTTATCCCTCCCCGTCCTCCCATCACCAGGGCTTGTTCTTTACTTCTTCTTTCTGGGAGGTGAGGTAGGGAGGGGGCTCTTACATAGAGTCCTGGGTACCTGTCACCCAGCTTCCCTCAATGATGACATGTAGTAACTGTAGTTCAAAATCAAACCCAGAACACTAAAATTGGTACAATACTGTTACTATACTACTACAATATTCATATATATATATATGAATTCATATATATATATCATATATATATACACTACAACTTTCATGCATATATATGATATACATGGTACAATACTGTTGCTAAACAACATTCATATATATATGAATTCATATATATCATATATACAACATTCATATATATATCATATATATACAACATTCATATATATGAATTCATATATATATATATCATATATATGAATTCATATATATATCATATATCATATATATGGTACAATACCGTTACTGTACTACTACAACTTTCATATATATATATGAAATACTGTTACTGTACTACTACGATATATATATTTCATATATATATATATATGAAAGTTGTAGTAGTATAGTAACAGTATTGTACCAATTTTAGTGTTCTGGATTTGAGATATATATATATATATATATATATATATTCTTTCACAAAATTAAGAGCACACAATTTGCATAAGTCTTCTCTCTTTTATTCTGTATAGTGGGTAAGGCTCAGTCCTCAGGTCTTACTGTAATGATGGGCTCCCCTATTTTTCATGTACAATTATATGGCTTTAGCTAAGAATCTTCTTTATATATTTTATATTAACAAAGGCCTTTTTAGGTATTAATTTGTGATAGAGTGAAACTGACCCAGAAAAAGATACACACTTTTCTACATACACACACACAAAAAAAAAAAAATTGGCAAAAGAACAGACACTTACTGAGCCTCTGCTATATGCCAAGGACTTTTGTCAAACACAGGAACAAAGTGATGCAAAGACACAGTCCTCTCCTCAAAGGGTTCACACATCAGAGCATGTGCCTTAAGCTGAGATCTAAGAAAAATTAGTTTCTAAAAAAGACCTCTTATTGAGACCTGGGGACAAATGGCTACATTATGTGTCAGGAAAGAGACTGAAGCACATTTTATCCTAATAACAGGAGTTGATTCCCATGAACCAAATAGAAGAACCATCGTTGTTAAAAGTTGGGTATAACTGAATAATCTGGGAACTGGGAAAACAAAGAAGCCTGGGCTAGAAAAGGGTTGAATTCAAGTAAGTCACACATGCTGGGACCCATTTGTGCTTTGTCTGCATCCTGAGGGCCACACCTCAAACATCTATTGCTTTGATGTCATCTCCAAGCCGTACAAACAAATCCTCCTCCCTTTAAAGAGTTCCTCATATCCCTCACGGTCACAGCATTTCCCAGCCAGCCTCTATCCTCCCTCCACCGCTTACTAGGCTGTGAGTGTTTTCCCATAGCTACCTGTTCTCTGTTCTTCAGCCCAACTCAGAGCCACATGACCCTCACTGCTTGTGTTTTCTCTTAAATAAAAGCATCTTATTTAGCGTCACTGATTTGAGGCTTGTATTAGTTTCCTGAGACTGCTGTGACAAATTACCACAAGCATGGTGGCTTAAACCAACAGAAGATTCTTCTCTCCTAGTTCTAGAAGTCAGAAATCCAAAATCCAGCAGGAGCGCAATTCCTTCACGGACTCCAGGGGATAATCCATTTGTTGTCTCTTTCAGCTTTTGGTGGTTGCTGGCATTTCTTGACCTGTGGCTGCATCACTCTGATTTCTGCCCCCATGATCACATCACCTCCTCTTCTTCTGTATCAATGCTTCTTGTACCTCACTTTTATAAGGGCACTGGACCTTGGATTTAGGGCCCACCCAGATAATCCAGGATGATCTCCTCAAGATCCTTAATTATATCTGTAAAGACTCTTTATCCAAATAAAGTCACATTCATAGGTTCTGAGGACTGGGATGCAGAGATGTCTTTGGACGCCACCTTTCAACTCACTGCAGGGATTTTCCTGTCCACTCCCTCTGGGTACCAGTATTTTCACCACATTATGCTCCTATTCAGAGTCATCAATGGTTTTTCATCTTCTATCTCTTCAACTCTGAATTCCTCTGCCTGGCATTCCAGGCTTACCGCAATTTGGCTCCATCTAAATTTGATACCTCACCAACATCCCACAATTTACTTCACCAGACATTTAGTGAGTGTCTACTATGCCTAAGACACTGTTTCTAGGCTTTTGGGGATACCAAGATAAATACAGTGTCACCCAGCCTTCACAGTGTGGCCCTGCTGAGGAGACAAATGTACAGAGCTATGAAACACAACACAACAAACACCACAGTCCCTTCCCACTAGGCAGCCTCTGAGCTATGCACACTCCTGCTACTCTGCTGTATCCGTCTGTTCTCACACTGCTATAAAGAATTACCCAACATTGGGTCATTTATGAAGAAAAGAGGTTTAATTGACTCATAGTTCCACAGGCTGTACAGCCAGCATGGGTAGGGATGCCTCAGGAAGCTTATGGTAGAAGGGTGAAGAGGAAGCAAGAACATCTTCCCAAAATACAAAAGTTAGCTGGGCATGGTGACAGGTGCCTGTAGTCCCAGCTACTCAGGAGGCTGAGGCAGGAGAATTGCTTGAACCTGGGAGGCGGAGGTTGCAGTGAGCTGAGATTGGGCCATTGCACTTCAGCCTGGGCAACAGAGCAAGACTCTGTCTCAAAAACAAAAAAAGAACATCTTCCCATGGTGGCAGGAGAGAGAGGCAAGCAGGAAATGCTACACACTTTTAAACAACCAGATCTTGGGAGAACTCACTCGCTATCATGAGAACAGCAAATGGGGAATCTGCCCCCACAACCCAATCACCTCCCACCAGGTCAGTCCCCCCAACATTGGAGATTACAATTCAACATGAGATTTGGGTGGAGACACAGAGCCAAACCAAATCACATGCTTTTAACTATTATCCAGGACATGTGACACAATTTGGTACTTAATCACATAGTCCTACAGCTTCACTACTGTAATCACCTTTTGTGTCGCCCAATAAATGTTTCTTAAACATAAGAACTTCTGTTTCTCCTACTTTCTACCAGAGTTACTCCAAGAATGTTAGAAATAATCGTGTAGATGTCTTTGAGTGAGACTTTGCTTATACTAAAATTGTTTGTTGCATCTGAAGTCACTTGAATGTGGCAATTGACCCTGTGAGGTAAATTTGGAGAAAATAAATGGTGTGAAAAAGAGCACCCCATCTCTGCCAGCCTTTAAAGCTAAGGGTGCAGCAATATACTCAGGCAGGAAAAGCCAGGGCCCTGGGAGGCGCTCCACCTCCACACAACTCCAGCCAGGGCAAAACAGTGAACAGGGAAGCACCATTCAGAGAGAGCCAGTGAGTGTCACCAGATAGCAAACGACAATATAAAATACTTTTACTTTTCATAGACATCTAAGAATTTTTTTTAAAATAAAAGTCTCATGTAAAGAGAGTGTCCTGATAGCAGACATACAAAGAATTAAGGGAAACATCTTTATCTTTAAGAAGCCAAACCAAGCGACATGGTTTTATGCTTCTATTCAAATAAATGTGTCAAAATTTTCTAAACTAAGCACACTTTTAAAAGTCTTAAAATTTTAAAATAAAAGCTGAAAATTTAGGAGATAAAATCATTTCTAACTCTGGTTTATTTTGGACTATCTCTCAGAAGTTTAAATATATGTGTGTATATATATATATAAAATTATACATATATATGTGTGTATATATATATATATATATATAAAATCATACATATATATGTGTGTATATATATACTAAAATATATATATATGTATAATTTTATATATATGTGTGTATATATATATATATATATATATAAACTTAAAAAAGCCACCATATTGTTGAAGCCATTTGGTAGCCATTTTTTCTTTATATAAAATTATTATATTTTATAATATTCTTTGATTTAATTTTTTAATGATTATATGGTATTCTACTTTGTGAATGCACCAAAATTTAATGTATAATTTCTTACTGTTAAATATTTAGATCTTTCCAATTTTCAATATTATAAGTAATGGTACTAACAGTATCCTTTTACATATCTCTTAAATTCTTAGAATTATAATAACCGTCTTGAAGGATATACATTTACCATTTTTTACTTCCGTTATCAAATAACAAAGAAGTTTACATCAATGACCAATTCAACTAATAAGAAATGTCATATTAGATATTTTTTTAATTCATCATTAAGTTACTAGACAAATGATATTTTGTTTTAATTTGCATTTCTCTGATTATTAAAACTGTATATACATTTTTCTCATGTATTTCTTCTTTAGGAATTACCTGATTATGTCTTTTGGCCATTTTTTTTTTCCTGGAGGTGATGGCTTATTTTTTTTTCTTTTTAGAAGTTCATGATTTAAGATATCAATTGCTTATAAGTACAGTTTATAATGTTTATAATGCTTTTTGGCTAATTTAAAAAATTTTCTCCAATCTATGGGATATACTTTTTTTTCTTTTTTTTTTTTTTTTTAATCATGTTTCCATCAAGATGTAGTTAAACTCATGGCACATTTTAAACATCTGTAGATCAGTAGGATCACTTTTGGAAGAGGCCAATTATTGGCAAAAATGATTCATTATCAAGACAAAAAGTAAATGTATTTTGGAAGTACAAAAATCTTAAAAATCCTTAAAGAACCCTTTACAAAAGCAATGCAAAATATTTACTGTACATGTAAGTAATATATATGTTACAATTGTGTCTCACCCCACCTCTCAAAATTTTATATTGATCTGTGTTTTGAGTCTGAGAGCCACCTTAATGTAGAAATGCAAGAATCAGCAGGATCCAAGAAGAATGAAGTCAGAGGTTTCGTAAGACCCAATGCGAATAGACACATACAACAGGAATTATTTAAACTGCTTAACCATTCCCACAAAAATGAGCAGGTGTATTTAAAGAAACTTTTTTTAAGCAGAAGTTATCTACAATATTCCAGTTGACAGAAGATATATTCACAGGCAGTTTGGACAAGATGACATGCCATTTACATGAAAGTTTAGTTTTATTACAGGCACTTTATGCAAACATTTCAATACTTTTTGCTACTTCTATAATCTTTTAGCAAGGCAGTCAGTTACAGTCCAAATGAGAAAATATAAACAAAATTACACATTTTATTTTTTTAAATCTACTTTAATTTTGTTATAAAATGTATAATGCAATTTAAACCAGGATGTCTCCCCACTTGAAGTCTCTCGCTCTGTTCCTTTAATTACGAAATCTCTGAAGACTCTGAACTTGATTGAGGAAATGTTAAACAGACAACTCTTCATAATTCTATAAATGCTTGCTTTTTAACTTCAATTAAATGCTATATTAAAAAATATTTAACATCTCATATAGTTACAGTTCACTGGCGCTTCGCTCCAGCCTGGACACTGACCATTGAAAAATAGATGCCTTTCTGTGCCAGCAGCTGCTGATGCGTGCCATGCTCCTTGATTCTGCCATTCTGAAACACCACTATTAAGTCCGCACTCTGGATGGTGGACAGGCGGTGAGCAATCACAATACAGGTGCGGCCTTCTCTGGCTTTGTCCAGGGCTTCTTGGACAACCTATTCCATAATCATATAAATTAATTCTCATAGTTATTTCCCCTGATTCCTCTTCCATAAAAAGCTCCATAATGAATTTCTCCAACAACAGATCTTTCTTTAACAAGATGTCAGCGAAGTAGATCAGGTTTTTGAAAACAAAGAATTTATCGTATCAGAAGATGACGAAACCTGAGTTTGGATTAGTTCCAAGGCAGCAGTTATCTACCCCCACCTTTTTTTTTCTTATTTGAGACAGGGTCTCCCTCTGTCACCCAGGGTGGAATGTAGTGGTGCAATCACGGCTTACTGCAGTCTCGACCTCCTGGGCTCAAGCGATTCTTCCATCTCAGCCTCCCAAGTAGCTGGGACTCTAGGTTCCCACCACCATGGCTGGCTAATTATTTTTAATTTTTGTAGATATGAGGTCTCCCTATGTTTCCCATGCTGGTCTCAAACTCCTAGGCTCAAGTGATTCTCCCATCTCAGCCTCCCAAAGTGCTGGGATTACAGGTGTGAGCCACAGCAGTAGGTGCGGGCCAGCAGTCATTTACCCTTAAAGTTAAGGCAGTAAGTACAGTTCACTGAATCATTTAAAAACATTTACTAATGTGTCTGGCCACATAACATTCTTGAAAACAGACCTCAAATCTAGCTCACAGTAAATTCAGGAAGGCTGAGCAAAGGCCAAACACAGGCTCCTGAATTTTAGTATTACAAGGTAGGGAGTATCTCGTGGAGTTTGTCTTTCAGATAATCTGAATTTGTAACCTTTTCTCTGACTAGAAATGATTGCTAATATTTATCTTAAAAGGTACAGCCAGATTCGAACATTGTTTTACCCTCCCACTTTTTTTTATGGTTGCTGAAGAAATGCTGCTAGTAGACATGGGAAATACGCCTCCCGAAAGCAGCTTCTTAGGTCAGCACAAAGTGACCTTGGGACAGTTTGTGAAGCATATGTGCTCTAAGACTAATCTGTCTTGTGCCATCTTGACTCTCCTGAATAACAGCTACAGAAAGTGTTTACATTTTACTGAAAGGTGATTAAAGAAACCATCAATAATCTGGCTACATTTTGTTTTTTACTGTGTAGAATAGAGCATTTTTAAGGATGACTGATTCAAGTATGAATGAACCCAATTTAAATTCTTACCTTTTCACTTTCTGTATCCAGAGCTGATGTGGCTTCATCCAAAAGCAAAATATGAGGCTGTCTAACAAGGGCACGAGCTATGGCCACACGCTGTTTCTGGCCACCAGAGAGTTGGGTTCCTTTGTCTCCTACTCTGGTGTTATATTTCTGTAAATAAGGTTTTGTTGTTATGAAAGAAGAACTGATAGTAAAGTTCTAACAGGTTGCTTATAGAAAGTGGGATAGATGATTCTATACACTCCAAAAATTTAGGTTCTGAAGCTAAGAATGGTTCATGGATAATCAAGGAAACAACAGTTAAAAAAAAGTCTAAATGGTAGGTTTCCTATCTCTTTGAAAATGGATGTTTGGGCCTTATGATGGTATGTGGTTTAGTGTAAACTAGTCAGCTTTCTAATGAAGAAGAATATTGATGCAATGTTAGCATCGTCTATCTTCTTGTTTCATTATATTTGGGACAAAGATTAGCAGGAGAAAGGAAATTTGATTTGAACAAGGTATTCATAATAAAGTAATAGAAGCTCAATTTACTTGTAACCAGCAGGTGACACTCTCTGCATGATTTTAAATTAAGGAAAGCCATTCTTGGGATGTTAGTCTTTTAGTGTCTGTTTTTATGAAATACCTCCAACACTTAAACAACTTTAATGGATGCTACATAAAGGATTCCATTTTGATATCTAACTTTGAAAATGAACACCTTCTTTTTAAAATTTTTAGTTTCTAGAGTGCTCCCAAAATTCTTCCCATATTGTTTCCCACAGTGGATAATTGTCACCAACTATTCACTATGATAGGGACAGGAGTTAAAAGCTACTCCAGGAGACAGCAGAAACAGGATGTGACCACACTTGTAACCTAGAAAGTAATAGTGTCTTATGTCCAGGCCCTTGTCAGGCTGAAATTTTAGTACAGCATTGCCTATTTTTATTTGCTATATCTGGTGACCCTAGTTTTGTGGCACTCGGCCCTGGGTCTGCCCCTGTAAAAAGAGGGAGAAGGCCCAGGGTGAGGTTTTGGCAGATGCTTGGGACTGGCTCTACCCTAGAGCTGTGGCTGCCTCAGAAGGCAGGAGAACTGAAGTGTGTCTTATGTGAGTGCACAGGTTACTAGTTGCACTTTTAATACAGTACTGATCCTGTTGAGGCAGATTAAGGTAGTGCAGCAATCTTACAAGAAGAAGGTAACTAAACCAGCCACCTACAGGGTGTGGTAAATCCTAGCATTAATCACTTAAAAGTGGATCCTTAGATAATAGGACTTAGAGGTTTTACCTTTTTTCTCCTGGTCTAGACACTGAGGAAGAGAATCATGGTGTCTATAGGTATGCTCTGGGTGACAGATTAGAGACCAGGAGCCCAGAAAAGAGGGGGTCCCTGTGGTAGACAAATGCCAGCGGGGCAAGGTATGTTTAAGAAGATAATAGTTACTCTCTGTGTTTGTGTTTTATTAACCCCTAGCCCAGGGGTTCTCCAGCTTAAGTCTGCATCAGTATTACCTAGGCTTTTAAAACATAGATTGCTGGACCTCCGAAGTTTCTGACTCAGCAGGTCTGGGGTTGGGCCTGGAAAATTTGCATTCCTAACAAGTTCCCAGGTGATGATGATCCGTGTCTATACTTGAGAACCACTATCTTCTCATCAATAAAGGGGATTGGAGCTTTCTGTTTTAAATGTCTGAGCCTTGAGAAGAGTCAATTATCTACCAGTGGGCTAGACTGTGAAAGGAGAGTGAGAGATGAGCCCTCCTCCCTGGAACTTAATAAGATTGGCATCAGCAGTTATTGAAGAAGAGCCTATGGAAGAGGGGAATCTTGGGAAACAGAACCACCTGGAGTTGCTCGCCTGCCTCATGAGGAGACTGCCTTCCCTGCGGGGGCTGAGGCTCCTGAGCTTTGTTTCAGGGGGCACTTCCTTAGGATACAGAACATAACTGGTGATAATGGGAGGGGTAGGTTACCTAGATTGAGAAGCACTTAGGACCTAACTTTTGCAGCAACATGGATGCAGCTGGAGGCCATTATCCCAAGCAAAGTAATGCAGGAACAGAAAACCAAATACTGCATGTTCTCACTTATAAGTGGGAGCTAAATATCAGGTACTCATAGACAGAAAAATGGCAACAATAGAAAGTAGAGACTAAAGAGTGGGGAGGGAGGGGGGCACGTGTTGAAAAACTACCTAGTGAGTTCTGTGCTCAGTACCTGGGTGATGGGATCATTTATAACCCAAAACCTCAGCATCGTGCAATATACCCAGGTATAAAAACCTGCACACGTACCCCCTAAATCTAAAATAAAGGTTGGAAAAAATCTAATTTTGGACTTTCAATACAGATTGAGCATCCATAATCCAAAATTTCAAAATCTGAAATTCTGAAACTTTTTGAGCACCAACATGATGCCACAAGTGAAAACTTTCACACCCGATCTCATGTGACAGGTCACAGTCAAAACACAGTCAAAATTTTGTTTCATGCTCAAAGTTATTAAAAATATTGTATAAAATTGCCTTCAGGCTATGTGTATAAAGTATACATGAAATATAAGTGAATTATGTATATGCAAATATTCCAAAATCTAAAAGACTTCTGGTCCCAAGTATTTTGGATAAGGCATATTCAACTTGTATTCCAAAACAAAATGGAACAAAAAAATAAAATACAGGATCTAAGAGGGCTTAAGAGAGGGTGAGAGGTTCCATTTATCCAACTTCCTAGCAGGAATTCAGAGGACACTCGGGACAACAGCCCAAAAAGGCCTAGAAAAGATTTCAACAAGTAACTGTAAACAAAGCTTGGGGCCCATGAAATGTACGATGACGAGAGATTACATGATACCATGCGCACCCCAAAGGCTCAGCCCTTATTCAGAGAGAGCCCTCTTTCTGGCATGGGTTCAGCCCCCTGGACTGGACTGACTCCACAGTGAGGTTTGAGGCTTGAGAGACAGCTGCAAAAAGGAAGAAGGGAGAGAAATAGGGGAGAGACATGGGGAGGAGGGATAGTCATGGCTGCCTCCTCAGCAAGCCAGAAGCAACATGTCTGCAGGTGGCAACCCAGACTCTGTACTTGGACTTGAAGGGAAAGGCCTCCCAGACATTGTACTTAAACCTAGGGCTGAAAAAGGAGGAGCCTTGGGCCTAATAGCTTTGGACCTAGAGAACTGTTCCAGTTCTCCTAGCCCAGAAATGTTCCTCCCTCCTAAACTTGAAGTCGTCCAGCACTTTCATTCCTACCTTACAAGGAGGGTCAGGTGATCAGGTAAAGGTAACATCTAACCCAGATAGGAAATGTGGCCTGATGCTTGTATACAGGTAAGGGTATAATTTGGATGCTAATTTCCCTTCACTTCTGGGAAACCAGCCACTTAGAAATCAAACTATAGGCCAGGGATGCTGCCACATGCACCGGGGCTATTAATTTGGAAAGGGACTTACCTTAGGCAGTGACTCAATGAAGGTGTGTATGTTGGCCTCCTTGGCTGCCCTCACGATCTCTTCCTGTGACACCACTCGGCTGTTGTCTCCATAGGCAATGTTCTCACCAATGCTGCAGTCAAACAGGATGGGCTCCTGGGACACGATGCCCAGGTGTGCTCGGAGCCACTGAACATTCAGTTGCTTTATTTCTTTGCCATCAAGCAGCTGAAAACAAGAGTTCACAGGTCAACTTCAGGACAAGCACACTTTGAATTTAGCACAATTAACATCATTATTTCCTACACTGAAACTGCCAAGGTACTGTGAGATTAAGGAAAAGGTTGTGTGACTAAAATTTGGTTAGTTAAGGTTAATCCAACCAAGTCATAACTGTATGCTTTGAGGAGCTGTCATGCTTCCTGTGTGTTAACCATGGTTTCTGATATATGCACGTGGTAGGCAGAACAATATTCCCTCTCCCACAAGGCATGTATGTCCTAATCCCTGGATCCTGTGAATGTGTTATGTTACATGGCAAAAAGGAACGAAAGTAGTAGATGTAAGCTCACTAATCAGCTGACTGTAAAATAAGACTATCCTGAATTATCTTGGTGGGCCTAATGTAATCAAAAGGGCTCCTAACTGAGGAAGAAGGAGGGAGGAGAGTATCAGAGCAGTGCAGTGTGAGAAAGACTCAACCAGCCACTGTTGGTTTTGAAAATGGAGGAAGGGGCCACAAGCAAGAAAACAGATCATGCTTTGGAGCATCTGGAAGGAACACAGCACTGCTGACACCTGATTTGAGCCCACTGAGACCTATTTTAGACTTCTGATCTTCAGAAGTGTAAGGTCATAAATTGGTGGTATTTTAAGCCACTGAATTTGTGCCATGTGGTTATAGCAGCCAAAGAAAACTAATACAATGCCTAATACTTCTGAGATGTATCCTGATAGCCTTATTCTTATATCTCCATTTTTCAGAGAAAAAGTGGCCAGGATTAGAGTGGAAATAAATAACAACTATGACCACATAATAAGTTTGCTGGTCAGGAACTACAGGGGATGGATAGGTGAACAGGGGCAGGAAAGGGTGGACAGACATCCTCAATACTGAGCCCTTTCTCTATAATCTGGCTCCCTGGATTATTCTGCAGAAATCTGGGGAGGGCCCGTTACAGCATTGCTAATAACAAGCCCTACTCTGACGCAAATATGCCTGCCAGATAGGTCTGCTTTGCAAGAGAATTTTCTGGCATTCAAGTGAGAGAGCTGTACATCCCTTCTAAAGAAGGCACCAGTGACTCAGCTTTGAGCTTTTCTAATAGTAGTGACAAGGATGTACTGAGCCATATACTCTGTGTATTGCATGTGCCTGGCTGGGTGGCTCAAGGGGACAGCTGGTGAGTGGTAGGGTACAATCTTTGCTATAGGAATGTGGCTTCTGCTTGTGACACTGGCAGGTGCAGGGATGGAAGCTCTGCCATGACCTTATTAGTACCAAGCTGAGTTGCCATAGAGACTATTCCACACACGTACACTCCAGGCTTCCTTACAATGTTAATAAATGATGGTGGAAAGTAGAAGGTGGAGAGAGACTGTAAAAGCCAAACAAAGGTATGGCTAAACAGCAGATCTTGTTAGATAAAACGCTGTACTTGAGAAGCAGAAATGTAAGGAAAGGAGGAGTTTTGTTTTTGTTTTTGTTTTAATTTTCCAGGTTTATGCCCCTGGGAGGAAAACAGACACTGCCTAACTAATATAATCACAGGCAAATCTGAATGATCTCAGCAAGTTATAATGAGTTTCTTCATTACACTGAATACACTCTTGGGCTTCCTTGTTCCCACATAATACCCTAGAATTGTAAACTATTTAAAACCTATGTTGATTGAAGAATTCTTTTTTAAGGGAAAACAAGTTTAGAAGCCTAGAATGTAAAACAGATCAAAGCAGAGCTTCTTTGGCTGAGGAATGGTATTGGTTTGATGGAAGACCAAGGAACTCTGGGGAATCTCTGAGAACTGCTCAAAAAACCCTGGTCTAGATAAAAACATAACTAAGAAAGTAAACATGTTGGTAAGAAATAATGTAAGGCCAGATTAAAATGATTAGCTATCTCTATTGTAGACTGTTAAATCTATTGCTTGCTTTCATTAGCACAAAAATGTTAAATATGTATTCTTCTACGTGTATTTACTCTGAAATAATCGATTTTTAAAAATCAAGCACAGACAATGTTGTAGGTTCTGTAATAAGCATGTCTCATACAGTCTCTTATTTAACCTTCACAGCAACTCTTATGAGGTCACTGATATTAATTCCCATTTTACTGATAAGGAAATGAGCAAAGTTAAGTAACTTATCCAAGGTCACAGTTAGTAATTAGGGGAAAACTAGGACTGGATTCAAACAGTATAGGCTGGGTTTTGGTAACACTAATACCTCACAACTGAAAGATATTTTATGTCCTCGCTTGAAAGGGGAATGCACCCATCTTGGCCCAGGCACTTCTCTTATAACCAGACAATGGCAAGCATCTTCTAACTGTATTCTAAAGGAGGCTCTGACTGTCCTATACGGGAGAGACTGGAAAGGGGAGAAAGGAAAGGTCAGGGGAAGACTCAAATCAGGGATGATTTAACAGTGACGCTGATGAAGGTTACACTTCAGGAGCCCTCAATTACATGTAAATTCTGGGAAGTTGAACAGTGTTCTGGGTGGGACAGTGGCAAGGCTACAGTCAGGAAGCTCTTTCCCATAAGTGTTGATGATAAATTGCCTAAAAATGAAAGGTACCAGAATCTTCAAGCTTCCAGTATTTGGTTGTGATTTCTTTTTATTTGAAGTAAATATCCACTTTTGTATCTAATTTTGCATTCAAAATTTTTTCTTTTCTTTAAGTTGAATCTCTAAAATTGTATAACCTTCAGGTCCCTCAAAACTTGGATCCTCCCATCTTCACAATTCTATAGCTTAATTTTTCAAGACTCTCCGCAATTTAACCTAAATCTTTCTTCAAATTTACCAGTTCAGTAGATCTCAAATGATGGTTGGCAGCAGAATCACCTAGGAAAATTATAAAAATAAAAGGCCAAACCCTAGCCTACTTGAATAATCCAGGCTGGCTGTGTTTTTTACTAGCTCTTTAGACCATTCTGATATTCACCGAAGCTTGAGAGCCAACACTTCAGGTCGATGTTTTTCAATGTATGATTCAAGGTCCACTGATGGTCATGAGAATTTCCTGACTTCAGGGAGGTCCTCAGGGTCAAATTCTTTCTTTAATTCTTATGCTCAAATCATAGAGTCATTTTTACATGGCAGTAAAAAATAACTAGTAGAAATCCACTGAGTTACTCAGGGCTACTCATTGATGTCCGTAAACAAAATTTTGTACATTTACTAGAGTTTATTGCGGACACTTTCTGCTAAGAAGTCTGGCTGCAGCGCACCATCTGGCAGTATTTTCAAGCCCTAGTGCAAATGCACAGGAGAAGATAACGGATATTCCTGCATAAATGAGGATACTTTATTTTCAGTCTAATATCAAAATGTTCTGGGATGCTTACTGTCCTATGTACTCAACAGTCATTTTGGTATACTTCCGTGTCTGCCCTTTTATACATCAAGGGATTAGAAGGCTAAAAACTATTTCCCAGTTTCCCTTGGTTCTGGAAGTAAGTTAGGGTCTACCAGGGAGATGCACAGTGTAAAATCTGGAAGGCAGACACCAACTCTCCTTCAGCAGCTGTAGTAAGCTAATGGCTTAACTAGTCTTTGACAAACAAGAATTTCTGCAACAGCCAGATTCTAGTCTTGGGTCTTTAAATTTGAGCAGCTGTGACATCGGCATAATTATCTGCAGCTTCTTGGTTACAGAATCACAGCTGAGGTGCTGTGATTTGGAAGTCTGGGAGCAAGCAGCCACCTTTACTTTCACCCTTCCAGCTCTTCCAAAGATTTTGTTAGCATGTAATTCCCTCTACTTGAAACACTTAGTGCAGTTTCTTTTTCCTACTCTGAACTATAACTGATGCTATCCATGTTTTAACTTATGTTATACTTGTGTTTATGTACTTGCAGAATGATCATTACTTCTTCTTGTATCATTATTGCGCTGTATTGTATTGTTATTTTCAACTCCAACATTTCGTTACTACTAAGGGTTTTTCCTATTGGAAAGTGACTATGAGTACATTAGTGGATGGTGACATTTTTAAATCTTTCCTACACAAGTTATTATCAGAAAAGTTGAGAACCATTACTCAAACTAAACTCCCTATTTCAGCCAAAGTGTCCTATTGGCTGCACTGGGTACAAATCACTGATCATAGCTTGTATTTTCTCTTACATTGAATGTCATCCCTACTGTTCACCCACATGCAAATCCTTCTTTCTTAAGAACTAGCACTAGGCCTATCTTCTTTAATCTAACTCACGTAAGTCTGTGCCCCATCTCCTCAGTTAAAGTATTTGAGGGCAGATATCATGCCCTACAATTCATCATAGCACAATATTTAACACATTATTTATTAACTGCCTGTTTAGGGCCATAATAAGTGTCTGAGAGCTAACATTTCCTCTTCTAATTGCTTCGGCTATCAGAGACATCTTCATTTAAAGTCTTGTTTTTAAGCTCACCACAAAATTGAAGGACACAATCAGAGTTCACAGAACATATAAAGCAAGAGAGTAAAAGTAGGGAACAAGCTTATGTAATGATTAAAGAGTAGACTGAATGAAGGCATAATTGTCTTTGAATACAGTAACAAATATTTATGAGTAAGAGGAACTGCTGTGAGGAAGTCAAAAGAGCCCTAGACTACAGGTTGAAAACTCTTTTCATTTCAGTCATTAAATGCTACTAACCTCCAACTGACTCGTACCAGCAGGTGTCCATTCTGATTGGTCAATGCTCATGCTGTTCCCGTTGTTAAGTATTTTAAATATCACTTCTCAGTACAACTAATTACATGCCTACATAATGAAAATGTCTTTCTCTTAATCCTATTCCTTTTTAATTTGTCTTCTTTCCTATCCCCCTTTCCTATTCCCCATGATAGTCCTTTAAACTCACCACTCCCTGCCAGACACCTCTCTCATCCCCATCAACATTCCCTGACACATTTTAGTTCAGAAGACAAAAGGGCATAATTCCACATTCTTTATACATTTCCCAAATTTGATTCTACTTTTTTTTCTCAGATGTATTTCAATGCCCTCTCTCCATCAATGATTCTGTCTCATCCCCAGTCATAAAAATGCTCAAGAATTTATCTCCTAAACATTTTCCCTGGACTCTGCCCCTCAACTCAAGCACTGTCTTTATTTGCCTCTTTTACTTTCAATATTCTTGATAATCTATACTCACTTACATCTCCATTTTTCCTCCTAACCATACTTCAGCGACCCTTAATTGTTTTCTACCATCACTACTTCACTAAGAATATTTTAAAATGTGAGAAATAGCCCATTCATTGCTAGACTCTATCACGTCTTCTCAGTCTCCTCATACCATCTGTCATTGCTGACCACCATCTTTGAAACAGTCCCCATCCTCGGCTTTCATCTCACTCCTAGCACCTGTTCTGAATCTTTTTGGCTACCTCCATTTTTTTTTCTCTTTATGTTTTTTTTTTTATTTTATTGTGTTTTAGGTTTTGGGGTACATGTGAAGAACATGCAGGATTGCTGCATAGGTACATACATGGCAATGTGGTTTGCTGCCTTCCTCCCCATCATCTATATCTGGCATTTCTCCCCATGTTATCCCTCCCCAACTCCCCACCCCCCACTGTACCTCCCCTAGTTCCCCCTACAGACCTCAGTGTGTGATGCTCCCCTCCCTGTGTCCATGTGTTCTCACTGTTCAACACCTACAGATGAGTGAGAACATGTGGTGTTTGATTTTCTGTTCTTGTGTCAGTTTGCTGAGAATGATGGTTTCCAGGTTCATCCATGTCCCTACAAAGGACACGAACTCATCGTTTTTTATGGCTGCATAGTATTTCATGGTATATATGTGCCACATCTTCCCTGTCCAGTCTATCATGGATGGGTACTTGGGTTGGTTCCAAGTCTTTGCTATTGTAAACAGTGCTGCAACGAACATTCGTATGCATGTGTCCTTATAATAGAACGATTTATAATCCTTTGGATATATACCCAGTAATGGGATTGCTTATTGGTTCTTCTCAAGTCAGCTGAAACCGAAGTATGGCAGGGGAGATGCGTGGTAAAAAAAGGTGCTTGCAAAGGAGGGTAGAGGCGTAGTGTTGAAGGGAGCCTGGAGAAGTTGGCTGGGGCAGATGACACCACTTGACCATATTTAGGCTGTCAGACTAAGTGGGGTTATTGTTTAAAGGTTTGAAAAAAACATGGCTTATAGTTGAGAATTAAATACAGTCAGACATGGGATGATGAAAACCTGAACTGAATATGAAAGTGTGCTCACCACTTTCCCCGCCAAGGGGTCATAGAACCGCTCCAGGAGCTGGACCACCGTGCTCTTCCCACAGCCACTGCTGCCCACCAGGGCCAGCGTTTGGCCCTTCTTGACCTCCAGGCTTAGCCCCTGAAGCACTGGGATGTCCGGTCTTGAGGGATAGTTGAATACAACTTCATTAAATGTCACATTTCCTTCCAGTGTTTTCTGCAAAGTGAAGAATAACAGTACATTTGATGGCTGCAATACTGAAAATAACGTGTATAGCTAACTCTCTTGATTATCAAGTATCAGAAGGTAATGAATTCGTATTATAATTGGCTTCACTTCAAACTGCTAGAATTTATTTATTTTTATTTTATTTTTTTACTTTTTTGAGACAGAGTCTCACTCTGTCACCCAGGCTGGAGTGCAGTGGTGCGATCTCAGCTCACTACAGACTCCGCCTCTCAGGTTCAAGCGATTCTCGTGCCTCAGCCTCCTGAGTAGCTAGGATTACAAGCATGCGCCACCACACTCAGCTAATCTTTTTTTGTATTTTTAGTAGAGATGGAGTTTCACCATATTGGCCAGGCTGGTCTCGAACTTCTGACTTCAAGTGATCCACCTGCCTTGGCCACCCAAAGTGCTGAGATTACAGGCACGAGCCACTGTGCTCTGCCTCAGACTGCTAGAATTTAATGACATCTAAAAGAGTGAAAGCTTTCATAGCATGTATTAAGACAATATGAATATACAATACAGCTGCGATAACTCAAATCTGTTCCTCAGGAATACAATAACTTACATGTAATAAAATCTGGTGACCAGCCTAGGCAACATAGAGAGACCTTGTCTCTACAGATAATTAAAAAATTAGTTGGTCACAATGGCACATGCTTGTAGTCCCAGCTACTTGGGAGGCTGAGGCAGGCTCCCAACCCAATTAATAGGGTTTTCTTACAAAGTGGGCAGTATTCCTATTTCCCTATAATCTTTGCTAGGTAAAAGTACTGAATGTTCATGTATATTAGTAGCAGTTATTGAAAAGAATCTATGACCTAGGAAGTTTGATTTTATTATCAGCATATTTGAAAGCACAAATTGTATTAAGTTTCTACTTAGAATACTTTCATTCAGGAGTCAGGAGTAGATCAAACAGTTGAAACATCAAACTTACTGGCTTTAGGCCTTCGGTGCTGTAGCTGTCAATCAAAGGGGTTTTTTCAATGATCATGATGATGTGAGCTGCTGATACTTTGGCTTTGGCATAGTCAGGAGCAAATGAACTGACTTGCCCAACAGCCATGGCACCAAAGACAATAGCTGAAAATACTCTGGAAAGCACAAAGACAAAACATGTGCACAGTGTTACGACCACATCTAGAAAGCTGACATTCTTTTTTTTTTTTTTTTGAGATGGGGTCTTGCTCTGTTGCCCAGGCTGGAGTGCGGTAGTACAATCTGAGCTCACTACAGATATGGCCTCCAGGGCTCAAGCAATCTTCCCACTTCAGCTTCAGGAGTAGCTGGGACTAAAACTATGCACCACCACACCCAGATAATTGTTTTATTTTTTGTAGAGATGGGGTCTCCCTATGTGGCCCAAGCTGGTCTCAAACTCCTGGGCTGAAGCAATCCTCCTGCCTCAGCCTCCCAAAGTGCTGGGATTATAGATGTGAGCCACCAGGCCTGGCTGAAAATGGACACGTCTATAACCAGAAAGCTTTGCCTCGAATAGTGATACAACAGATGGCCGGGTACGGTGGCTGCTGCCTCTAATCCCAGCACTTTGGGAGGCCAAGGCGGGTGGATCACGAGGTCAAGAAATCGAGACCATCCTGCTCAATATGGTGAAACCCCGTCTCTACTAAAAATACAAAAATTAGCTGGGCATGGTGATGCATGCCTGTAGTCCCAGATACTCAAAAGGCTGAGGCAGGAGAATTGCTTGAACCCAGGAGGCGGAAGTTGTGGTGAGCCAAGATTGAGCCATTGTACTCCAGCCTGGGTAACAAGAACGAAACTCCGTCTCAAAAAAAAAAAAACAGATGTTAAAAAATAAAACAAATACATTTCCTTATAAGTTCATGTCAGTGTGATAGACTGATTGCAAAATGGCCCATTTTTTCCACCTCTCTCTGTATCCACATCTTCTTGCAATGTGACCTTTGCAGCACCCTTTGAATCTGGGCTGGTCTTGTGACTTGCTTTGGCCAACAGGATGTGGTGGAAATTACTTTTGCCAGTTCCAAGCCTATGACTCAGGGAGGCCTTATATCCTTTGTGAGCATGCATGCATGTGCTCTTTCTCTTCCTCAGAACACTGCCACTGTCTCAAACCCAGGGTATCCTGCTGGAGGATGAGGTGCACATGAAAGACAGCTGTGTGGATCCCAACCAACCAGTAACACACACAACCCACTACAGACACATGAGGAAGTCCAGCTGAGATCTACTATGCCTAACCCAGATCAGTAGAATTTCACAGCTAACCTACAGGTTTGTGGGAAAAAACACGTATGTCTCTGAGGTTTAATGGCTGGTTGTTACACAGCACTACTGTGATGATCAACAACGGGTACAGTCAATGATGTTGGAATTACATCAGATTCTTAAAAACCTGTGAACTGTGCAACAAAAAGAAAGTTCCTTACAGAATCAGTTATCATGTTGCTCCCAAGATGCACTGACATTCTTATTTATGGCATGGGAATCATAGCAACTTAAAGTTGGGAAGGACCTTACAGGTATCAAGTCCAGCTCTCCATGTTTGTACCTGGACACCTCCCCTAAATTGGCTTCCATCCTCTGTTTTAGGAAGTAGCATGTTTGACTGTCTATTGTTTAAAAGTTCTTTTTCAAACTGAAGAAAAAATGTATCTCCTTTTACATAAGACAGGCCTACAAGTCTTGAAATATTGCAAAAACTTCTTTGTTTCTTTGATAACTCCTTTCATGCCCTTCTCTAGACACATTTATTAATATGCTTTTTTAAGCAGCAAGCCTGGAATCTACATAATACTTGGGAACCCTTCCAGAATACAGGGAATCCATTACTTTCTTTCCTCTGGACTCTATGCCTATGTTTATGTAGCAGATGTTGTCATTAGTTTTGGGGGATTTTTTGTTTGTTTAACTAGCACTAAATAAAATACACTGATGGTTAATCTCGGCCTTGTGATCATTTAAACCTATGGGACCTTTTTCTAATGCACTGCTCTTCAGACAGCTCTTCCTTTTCCTTAACTTGGAATATTGACTTTGCAAACCGAAATGCCCCAATGTCGGCAACTTTCACCATTCAAGTTTTTGGAGTAAAACAATATATCAAATAATTATCTAATCAAAGCCCTAATGCCAGTGATGCTTGGTTTTGATCTCTAGGTCATAATTACCAATAGCACCTGCATATCATTTGTCCAACATACATCTTTAATGGAAATTTAGATGTCTTTTTTGGGGTAATCCTGAGCAAACTATAATGCATGAACAACTCAATGTCTAAAAAGGACAGAAATACTATACTAACACATTACACTGCCAGGCTTATATGATTCTGGTTTAAATGTAAAACTGTATTGATACTAATTATGTTACGTTATCAAGAGGCAGAACCTTACCCATCACCAAATCTAGAAGCTCAGAAAGATTACACACACTTTTGACCACCAAACTGTATATTTGGGTACTTTCCTAGTATAATTAGCTTCAGGCTTATCTTCCTCTGACCAAGGTACGATTATCTACATTCAGAACAATGTGGCAGAAAAATCCCAATATAACTTTTCCTTTGTCATTTCTAAATTCATAAGGCGCTTACCTTCCAACTCTTCTCTTATCAAGGAAAAGTAAACTTATCCTGTAGTCTCCTAGGGCTTGCAGAACTTAGTACAACCCATCTGTACTTTACCTGCTCTATAAGAAAGTCCTTTTAAGGGAGCCAGTCAGACTGCTTGCTCAGGGTTAGGCTTCTTCTCAAATGCCAAGGCCTTCTCTAACTCTCTGAATAAAATCACTCCAGTCACAGATTTGGAAAGGTCAGATATACATGAGCCAGCAGTGGGGAAAGAGGTTACTGTTCTTCCAAATGAAAGGAAGTGCTTCAGTGGTGGCACATGGAGACTCAGAGGCAAAATGCCGCGTTCTGAATCACCAGAATCTCTTCATGAAATTTCACAGTAGAGTTTCCTATCTAGACATGAAGCATGTTCGTCCCAGTTTTATTTTTTGAGTTTAACTATACATAATAGTGTAATACTTACAGCAGAACATCCTCAAAGCTCATGAGCCTATGTGCCACCAAGTAGGCACCAAACCGGAAACAGGCAGCATAGGAAAAATACATCATTGCCTGGGTGAAGGAAAATGTGATTCCAAAGATTTGTGCTTTCTTCAAAGAGTTTCTGAAAAAAAAAGACATTTGAAAACTCATTCCGCTTTCATTTCTCAGTCCTTAATATCTAACTTTTGACAGGTTGGCAGTAGGGTACAGAGGCATGACCGACAAAGGTGGGTTTAGTTTCCAAAGAACTAAGTTTGGTCTTCACTTTACACTTACCAGCTGTGCAAATTTGGGAAACAGCCTAACTTCTGAAACTCAGAATCTTTATCGTTAATGTAAAATTAACTACACCTCAAAGTGTTGATGTAAAGAGAAAATAATTCAATGACTGTAAAGAGCTGGTTAGGGATTAATAAGTGAAAGTTCTCTCCCTTCTTCCCACTTTTGGACATACAACATGTAAGTACTCTATGTAAATATTCATTCTGCACATGTTTACCCAACACCTACAAGTTGCAGGGGCCATGCTGGGGGACACAGAGGAAACAGGCATGTTCTTGCTTTAGGACACCTAAGAGTTGAGTCGAATCACTACGCAATGGAGGTATCTTATGAATGATCTGTTATGGGAAGAAAGGAGAAGCACTTAATTCTCTGGGGGAGCTAGAGAAGGTTTTACAAAGGGGTTGACATTCTAGAATCATGACATGGAGCTCAGTGATATGAAGGTGTCGGTGGAAGCAGGTTAGCGAGTGGGCAGGCCTGGGCTTCCAATCCCTCCTGCTACGAGATCATCTCTGCTTTTATCTTCACCATGTATCAGGATTTCAAATAAAAATTTTTTTAGATAAAAAAGCTCTACCATCTTTTTTTTTTAAAAAAAAAAAAGCTTAAAAACCCATCAATAAGGTCCAGCTCTCTTCTTTTATTATAAGAAATAGACTCAGAGAGGTTGGACTTGCTTATGTTCACACCATTTATTAGACTCCGCACTGGGATGACTGTGTTAAAGGAAGAAAGGGTTAAAAGCAGAAAGGTAACCCAGGAACCGCCATCCTCTCCATGTACCACAAGTACCTCAAATTTCATGTTCCATAAATAACTGATTTTCAACTACAGCAAATTATAGGGTCATATCCTAACTGGACATCTGATAATTATTCTCAGCATCATGTCTCCCTCCCTCCCCATCAATGACCCATTCTTTTTTTTTTTTTTTTTTTAAGACAGAGTCTCACTCTGTCACCAGGTGTCAGGCTGGAGTGCAGTGGCGTGACCTCGGCCCACCGCAACCTCTGCCTCCTGGATTCAAGCAATTCTCCTGCCTCAGCCTCCCGAGAAGCTGGGACTATAGGCATGCGCAACTACGCCCAGATAATTTTTTGTATTTTTAGTAGAGATGGGGTTTCACCATGTTGGCCAGGATGGTCTCCATCTCTTGACCTCATGATCCGCCCACCTTGGCCTCCCAAAGTGCTGGGATTACAGGCTTGAGCAGTGACCCATTCTTCCAGGTTCTACCTCAGAGATGTCCCTGCCTTAGTTCACGGTGTTGTAATTTATCTCCTGCATAATTACAACTGTTTCCCAATGGGTTCCCTTCAAGTACTTTCTCCACTTGCTCCCTACCTTCGGGCTAAAGTAATCCTTCTGAAAACAAACATGACGATTAAAAATTCTTCACATGCCCCTTCCACTCTTCAGCAGTTATTACCTGTATGGTACCTGCAAATTCTGTGCATACATATGTTCAAACTTCTGCTCCTGGGTCAAAGAAACAACAGTTCGGAAGTTTTCTATTGCTTCAGTAGCAATCTGTAACAGAGGGCAGCAATTACCAAGAGGCACAGAAGTAAACAGTGGTAACTAATTTGAATTCTATAAAACAGACTAATAAAAATTTTATGATTACATATTTATTATTATGCATAAGCATTTTCTCTGTAGAAAAGGATACTAAGTAATTTATCAAATTGAGTTATGGATCTGAAAGGAAGATTGACTAATTCAAACTTCTCTTTTGCAGAAGGAGAAGCTAAGACTTAAACGGATTAAGGCACTGCTTAAAGCCACGTAGCTTTACATGCCTTCACAAAATTAACCTGAGAACTCACAGTACTTCACATATATTGCAGTGCTCTTCTTCTATGAGGATCACATTTTAAGTTCACAGTTATTTTACACATATTTTTTAAATGTGATGTTTATATTTGGCTCTTTATCATTGCCATTTGTGACAACTGAAGGATGTCTGGAAAATACTGAAAGAATGAAGGCAATAAAAAGTATACTTTAGATACATTCATCGGCTTACTCCTTTGTGCCCATGGATGCCGCCGGGGAAGCGTCATTAAAGTCTCTCTTCCCCCTGCCATCATGTCTAAGTCAGAGTCTCCTGAAGAGCCTAAACTGCTGAGGAAGCTCTTCACTGGAGGGTTGAGCTTTGAAACAACCAATGAGAGCCTGAGGAGCCATTATGAGCAATGCAGAAGGCTCACAGATTGTGTAGTAATGAGAGATCCAAACACCAAGCGCTCCAGGGGCTTTGGGTTTGTCACATATGCCACTGCAGAGGAGGTGGATGCAGCTGTGAATGCAAGGTGACACGAGGTCGATGGAAGAGTTGGGGAACCAAAGAGAGTTGTCTCAAGAGAAGGTTCTCAAAGACCACGTGCCCACTTAACTGTGAAACAGATATTCGTTGGTGGCATTAAAGAAGACACTGAAGAACATCACCTAAGAGATTATTTTGAACAGTATGGAAAAATTGAAGTGACTGAAATCATGACTGAGCAAGGCAATGGCAAGAAAAGAGGCTTTACTTTTGTAACTTTTGACAACTGTGACTCCGTGGATAAGACTGTCATTCAGAAATACCGTACTGTGAATGGCCACAACTGTGAAGTTAGGAAAGCTCTGTCAAAGCAAGAGCTGGCTAATGCTTCATCCAGCCAAAGAGGTCAAAGTGGTTCTGGAAACTTTGGTGGTGGTCATGGAGGTGATTTGGTGGGAATGACAACTTTGGTCATGGAGAAAACTTCAGTGGTCGTGGTGGCTTTGGTGGCAGCCATGGCAGTGGTGAATATGGTAGCAGTGGGGATGGCTATAATGAATTTGGTAATGATGGAAGCAGTTTTGGAGGTGGTGGAAGCTACAATGATTTTAGCAATTATAACAATCAGCCTTCAAATTCCGGACCCACGAAGGGAGGAAATTTTGGAGTCAGAAGCTCTGACCCCTATGGTAGTGGAGGACAATACTTTGCCAAACCACAAAACCAAGGTGGCTATGGCAGTTCCAGTAGCAGCAGTAGCTATGGCAGTGGCAGAAGATTTTAAATTACTGCCAAGAAACAAAGCTTAGCAGGAGAGGAGAGCCAGAGAAGTGACAGGGAAGCCACAGTTTACAATAGATTTGTGAACTCAGCCAAGCACAGTGGCAGCAGGGCCTAGCTGCTACAAAGAAGACATGATTTAGACAGATACTCATGTGTATGGGCAAAAAACTCGGGGACTGTATTTGTGACTAATTGTATAACAGGTTATTTTAGTTTCTGTTTCACAGAAAGCGTAAAGCATTCCAACGAAGGGTTTTAATGTAGATTTTTTTTGCACCCATGCTGTTGATTGCTAAATGTAATAGTCTGATCATGACACTGAATAAACGTGTCTTTTTTTTAAAAAAAAAAAGTATATTTTACACATTTGCATATTGTGTTTTTCCTAAGTGCATAAATATATTTAATGAGATTGTGATGAAACTCTATATTTAACTCTATATCATCATTTTTTACCTTAATATCAAAAGCATTTTCCATGCTCATTAAATAATGAGATGTGTAATGAGTCCTTTAATATCACAAGCAATTAAGTATTCCTTTCTTATTAAAAATAATGCTAAGACAAACATCTTTGTACCTAAACATTTGTCCATGTTGAACTGGTTTATCAGTAAAATTTCCTAAGGAGAAATTAATAGGTCAAAAAAAAAAAACTTTTTTTGTTTTAGAGATGGGGTCTTGCACCATTGCCCAGGCTGGAGTACAGTGGCTATTCACAGGTTTAATAACCATAGCTCAATGCAGCCTCAAACACCTGGGCAAGCAATCCTCCTACCTCAGTCTACTCAGTAGCTATTTTTACAGGCATGTGGTACCACAACTGGCTTGAATTAACTTTTTAAATTTTTTAAGGAATGTGGCACATACTATTAATTTGTTTTCCAGAAAGTTTTGGACTGGATGTGGTGGCTCATGCCTGTAATCCCAGCACTTTGGGAGGTGGAGGCAGGTGGATCACCTGAGGTAAGGAGTTCAAGACCAGCCATGGCCAACATAGTGAAACCCCATCTCTACTAAAAATACAAAAATTAGCTGGGTGTGGTGGCATATCCCTTAATCCCAGGCTACTTGGGAGACAGAGCAAGAGAAGCACCTGAACCTGGGACACAAAAATTGCAGTGAGCCAAGATGGCACCACTGCACTCCAGCTTGAGCGATAGAGTGATCCTCCATCTTAAAAAGAAAGTTTCCATCATTTAATTATATTGTAATTGAATGTTACTTCTAATGAAACAATTTGATTAGGAAACATACATCCTTCACCACCTCTAGAGTCTGAATAAAGGGATGTTGAAAATGCAAAGAACACCAGTGTACAAGATGAGATTTCAATCTATATCAACCACACAACCTTGAGCCACCATGCTGTCTCATTTTCCTCATTTGCAAAATGAGGAGGATGGACTATAAGGTCTCTAAAGTCCCCTTTAATACTATGATTCTAAGAGAAATATTTTCCAGAATCATAAGTCACAAAGAGAAATGACTCTCCATTGTTTAAGATGTTCTTCTTCTCTCTGGACTCTACACTGGTGAGAACAGATTCTAATAAAGACACATTTAATTTAGAGTGTTTTACAGATTTTAAATCATAAATGTGAAATTCCACTATTCCTCACTGAATCCTGCATAAATTACCTAACTTCAAAGCTAACAGCAAGCATTTCATAAGATATTAAGTCAGTTTTGAAGACTAATATCAAAAGCTATTAGAAGTAAACAAAATTAGCAACATTCTTAGAAACAAAAACTTATTTAAAAATAAAGTTTAAAATATTATTTTTGCACTGACAGGATAAGGATATTGAATTAAGTTTACCAAAAGCTACTTAGAAAGTTAGGAAAATGTCCAGATTTAATATATGTTAAAACATTTTATAAACTTCTTTTACACATTATAAAAATAATATATAGTCATTTTAGACAATCATAAAAGTGTAGAAAGCAGAAGATGAGAAAAAAAATTCACCTTCAAATTCCCAAAGACAATCCTTTTGTCAGACATATTATAAATATTACTAAATATCAGAATTCAAACAGATAGGTTTTCCAGATTAATAAGAAAATTCAACAGACTATAACAATGTCTACTGAAAAACAAATTTTACTGTATATTTCAGTGTAATGGTTTTAAGAAATATTTTCTGTGTACCATTTTCTAAGGCAGGAGTGTCTTGTTTGGGATTGGTTTGTAAATATCATTGCTTTTTAGTGTGTATACAGCCCAATAAAAATGGGAGTTGGAGTCACACAGCTTGCATGGTGAGTAAAACAGTATAATAACTTCAGGACTGTCTTCATCTTGACGCACATTGAAGCAATTAGGAAAAGGCTTAATTAGCACCCCTCATGCTCACAGCTTCGTTTATTCCAAGAGTTCTAAACAGAGACTCAGTAATTACCATGAGGAGAGAGAACTTCTAATTCAAGAACAAATAGCATTGAGTTTCCCTTGGAAACTGTCATGTACTAAATAGTTTTAAAGAAATAAAAAATGTATGTTTGTAGAAAGAAAAAAAAAAGACTCTTCACATTACTCTTCCTACCCTCAAATAAACTTGTCTATCACTTTTATTTCTGAAAAGGAAAAGAGCATCTGCAATGGACCCTTGAACAACATGGGGTTAGGGAGACTGACCCCTCTTGGAGTTGAAAATCCACCTATAACTTTTGACTCCCCAAAAACTTAGCTACTAACAGCCTACTGTCAACCAGAAGTCTTACCAACAGCCTAAACAGTCGATTAACATGTATTTTATACGTTACATGTAATATATATTTGTATTCTTACAATAAAGTAAGCTAGAGGAAAGAAAATGTCATTAAGAAAATCACGAAGAAGAGAAAATATATTTACTATTCATTAAGTGGAAGTGGATCATTGTAAAGGTCTTTAATCATCACTGTCTTTATACTGAATAGGCTAAGGAAAAGAAGGAAGAAGAGGGGTTGTTTTGCTGTCTCGGGATGGCAGAGCTAAGGAGGTGGAGGTGGTAGAAGGGGAGGCAGGAGAGGCAGGCACACCTGATGTAACTGACATGCATTGCGGTCTCTTGATTGTTTTGCTTTTTCACTTCTCTAAAAACGTTTCAATATGGTACCAATCCTTCCTCCACTGTTTGCTTCAGTTTCAGTCCTATATCACAGAAGGGTCCATATCATAAAAGAAGTTTAAAGTAGTCCGAATAATTGAAACCCTTTTGCCAGATTAAGTAAAGTCAGTTTCATTTCTGGCAGTGCTTTTCCTGTATCTTCTTCCTCATTGTTTCGTACTGGTTTGGAAACACTCATCTTTATCAAGTCATCTTCTGTTAATTCCTCTGGTGTGATGTTTATTCGCTCTTGAATTTCTCCAAAATATATGCCTTGAAACACTTCACTCATCACCTTTTTTTCATATCTCCTATCTCTTTTGTGATTTTCTTGATTGGCTCTGTCATAAATCCTGTGAAATCATGTACATCTGGACACAGTT